GATAGATAGATAGATAGATAGATAGATAGATAGATATATAGATAGATAGATAGATAAATAGATAGATAGATAGATAGATAGATAGATAGATAGATAGATAGATAGATAGATAGATAGAAAGATAGATAGATCGATAGACAGATAGATAGATAGATAGATAGATAGATAGATAGATAGATAGATAGATAGATAGATATATAGATAGATAGATAGATAAATAGATAGATAGATAGATAGATAGATAGATAGACAGATAGATAGATAGATAGATAGATAGATAGATAGATAAATAGATACATAGATAGATCGATAGATAGATAGATAAATAGATAGATAGATAGATAGATAGATAGATAGATAGATAGATAGATAGATAGATAAATAGATAGATAGATAGATAGATTGATAGATAGATAGATAGATAGATAGATAGATAGATAGATAGATAGATAGATAGATAGATAGATAGATAGATTGATAGATAGATAGATAGATAGATAGATAGATAGATAGATAGATAGATAGATAGATAGATAGATAGATAGATAGATTTATAGATAGATCGATAGATAGATAGATAGATAGATAGATAGATAGATAGATGGATAGATTGATAGATAGATAGATAGATAGATAGATAGATAGATAGATTTATAGATAGATCGATAGATAGATAGATAGATGGATAGATTGATAAATAGAGAGATAAAAAAAATATGACAACTTGAAATTGTGCCACCCAGAACAAGCTTTTTCAATGTGTTAGAGAAAAAACCAACTATCTAAACCATGAACTGCATTTTCAATTTTCTCGATTAAACAAAACTACAGAAACGTTCTCGATGAAACTCTATTTTTTTTAACCACTTTTACTGGGCGTTCGACGCTTAATCCGTCCTCTGTGTCATCTTCGCAGAGTGAAACATGATACTTAAATCATTTTGTTCACCGCTGTTGGTTTCCGTTCAAGACATCCATTTTTGTCGGCCAGCACTAGAGCTTTCCTATGGGCGCCTTCGGACCTCTTTATACTGAAAAATTGAGGAGGTAGCGCCTGGTTTTTTTTTTCAAAAGAGCCTTTTTTATCCAAAATTTGACGGCGGAGCTGAAGTTGTACAAACTGTCAAAATCTTTATTTCGGTTTTTTAGATAGATTGCACATAACTAATTTGAAAAATGACCATTGATTTATCATTTTGTTTCAACCAGGGACACAGGATCGACTTGCGGTGATGAGCTGAACAGCTCGCATGACGATATTCTTTTACGTGGATAACTCTTCTCAACTTAATTTACTTCTGCTTTAGTTATTCCCGGGTCGCGGTTGTGGTTTTATGATCGGAGGGTCACGACCAAAGACATTTCCAGACTACTGCGACCGAAATTGAATATTTTTAGACCGCCGCGAACAGTTTTTGGTATTTCCAGACTTTGCGGACCGAGGCAATGTGCCCGAGACCGGCGCGTCTCAAGGAAAGTTAACTGGGACTGGCGTGACCGAAGAAACATTAGTCGCGGCGGTCAAAAAATTAGTCGCGGCGGTCAAAAAATTAGTCGCAATGGTCGAAAATTTAGTCGTGGCGGTCGAAGAATTAGTCACCCCGCATCCAAGTTTAGGCGTAAATAATCGATTATAACGGATTGTGTGCCGCACTCTCGTATCCTGTAAGATCTAAAAAACCTGGTTCAACCTCTGTAAATTATCGGCAATTTAAACAGATAATATGACAATATAAAGATAATATAAAATAAGGCAAACATCAGTTTAACATTTTCGGTTAACATGTTATCGAACGGTTTTTCAACAACCTCCAAAATCTATAAACATTTTGATGGCAAACTGACCTTAATCGGACAAACCAGTAGTTTTCAAGGCCTTTTGTCTAAGCAAATCTAATTTTAGCTTTTTCACTTTCGCGCTATAATGACGTCATTAATTTAAGCGCGAACATCTTCCGCGCCCAAAGGAGCAAAAACGGGTGCGAGTTTTACGGCCGGTCGAGTTAGCTCCCCGGAGCGGGTGGTAACTACGGCGGATCGGGCTATGTTGTCTTTTCCGTAATTAAGGGTTTTTATACGAGCCAGAGGGTAGTGTCCCCTTGGGCTGCGTTCGTCAACAATCCACACTAAATCCCCTGTTTTTAAAATAACGTCACTATCGGAGTGCCACTTACTGCGTTTATTTAGTGCTGGCACATAATCTCGCAGCCAACGACTCCAAATTGCGTTGGCGTAGCTTTGCGCTCGGATATATTGCTTTCGATGGTCGAAGTGCTCCTGGAAAGAGAGAGAAGGAAAGCTAGTACCATTTCGGCCTAACAAAAAATGATTAGGAGTTAACACCTCGAAACCATCCGGACTTGCACTTACTGATGTTATAGGTCGAGCGTTCAGTGATTGTTCTACAAGACAGAAAGTTGTTTCAAGGACTTCGGGAGTGAGCTTTCTACTTCCTATTATTGCGTAGAATACCCTTTTACAACACCGAACGAGGCGTTCCCAAGAACCACCGTGATGCGGGGCTGCCGGGGGGTTAAATTTCCACTTAATACCTTTTTTCGCCAGCTCTGGGGGTGCTTGATCGTTCCATGACTGAATACATTTTAAGAGTTCTTTCTCGGCTCCCACAAAATTGGTGCCGTTATCAGACCAAATGACTGATGGAGTGCCGCGACGGGCAATGAATCTTTCGATTCCCATTACACACGAACTCGTGTCCATGGATGAGACAATCTCAATATGTACAGCTCTGGTGGTCATACATGTAAAAAGGAAGCACCATCGTTTTTCAGAACTCCTCCTGATTGAGACGTAAAAGGGTCCAAAGTAATCAACACCACAGTTTGTGAAGGGAGGCTGGCGGTAACCAAGCCTTTCAACTGGAAGCTCTGCCATCATAGGTGTGACAGTTTTGGCTTTGCGCTTCCTACATATAAGGCAGTGGACTTCAATGGACTTCAATAAAGAGCGAAGGTTCAAGATTGCGAACTCTAAGTGAATTACAGCTCGCAGGTAGTCTAAGAACTGGTGCTGATAGCGATAATGAATATCACTTACGAACAATTTCACCAAAGAATGCCTTCCATCAAGGATTATAGGGTGTTTTGTGTCATATTCAGTTTCAACTAGGCGGCGAATTCGCCCAGTTGAACGAATGAGGAATGCAGGACCCATAAACGGTGCATACTGTGCAATACGACTAGACTTTTTGACGGTTTTGTTGCAGGATAGGAGTAAATATTCCGCTTCAAAAGATTCCTTTTGGGAAATCATCAAAAGTCGTTGTTTGGCGGTTTCTAATTCAACCGGATCGATTATTTCCTTGACTTTAGTGCGGTAGTGCCGGTGTTTCGGACTAAGTCTGAGCATGAAGGCAACCACTCGCTGGAGTTTACGAAACGAGCTGAACTTTTGCCAATCAAATAAAATGGGTTGTTTTTGATTTAGTGCAACGTTTGAAAAATTAGAGGCTTGCTGTAAGCCTTCATTGAGGTCACAAGCGGGACCAGCCAGGCGGATTTTCTTAAGTATTTCTATGCTCGGCTTGAAAGGCCACTCGCCACTTTGCAGCAGACTTGGCCCGTTCACCCAGCTGCTTGTTTTTAAGGACTCCGCTGAGATTCCTCTGGTTCCCGTATCAGCAGGGTTGTCTCCACTTAAGACATGAAACCACTGGTCTACGGTCGTACTTTCTAGAATCTCTCCAATCCGGTTTGCCACGAACGTGGGTTGCTTACTACCTGAGTTTAACCACTGGAGCACAGTGGTGCTGTCAGTCCACATGAACGTGTTTGACACAGGAATGGTTAGAGCTTTGAGGACATCTTCCTTCAAGCGGGTAGCGAGTAACGCGGCCTGCAGTTCAAGCTTCGGTATGGAAAGCGCTTTCATGGGCGCCACTCTTGCTTTTCCAAAGACGAAGGCAACTTGTGTTTCGAGTGAAGTTTTCACACGGGCGCGAAGAAAAGCTACAGCACAAAAAACTTCTTCTGAGCTGTCACCGAACATGTGTAACTCAACCCAATCGACTGGTCCGGAGAAGTAGCTGCGCTTTATACTCATTTTCCCTAGAGATGGCAAACCAGAGTGCCAGGCAAGAAATTTTGTCTTGATATCAACGGGTAGCTGATCATCCCATTGTTGACCATGAATGCGCCAGATTTCTTTCAACAATAATCGCGCTCTTACGGTATAGGGCGCTACGAGACCTATGGGGTCGAAAACGGAAGAAACAAAACTTAACACTGTTCGCTGTGTTATCGAATTTTTAAGTTCACGATTGACACCACGGCTTACGACCAAAGTGTCGTCAATATGGTCCCACTTCAGACCAAGAACATGAGAAGAATTATCCCCACAAGTTACAATATTTTTACTTTCCTGTTGCGGCGCGCTTTGGGGCGGGTTTAACTCTTTATTAATTTTAGTTACGTTACTTATGAACTTAGTTAATTTAAAACCACCTAGAGCTAACAGAGTAATCAACTCTTGACTCATTTTAAATGCAACATCAGGGTCCTCAAAGGAGTCAAGGTAGTCGTCCATATAAAATTTCTCTAGAACTGCGGACGCTGCGTCAGGGAACATCGCCTGATTATCCGTTGCAGTCCGTTGCAATGCATAATTTGCACACGTTGGCGAATCTCTTGCTCCAAATATATGTCTGGTGTACTGGTGTACAACCACATCGGCTGTGGGGTCCTCCCGCCACAGAAAACGAAGAGATGGTTGGTCCTCTGGAAGGACGCCGACTTGTAGGAACATCCCTTCAATGTCAGCCGATACGGCAAAATGATGTTGACGAAAACGGAGGAGAACGAACACAAGGTTCTGCAGTAGGTCGGGTCCTACTAGCAACGATTTGTTCAATGACGTACCGTGGAATTTAGACGCTCCGTTAAGGACACGCCTCACTTTACCAGGTTTGTTTGGGTTCACCACGGGATGGTGAGGAAGATACCACTCGCGTATGCTGCGGTTCGAAAAATTATGGGGAGGAACTTGATCACTATCTCTTAAACCGAACCGACATTGTTATTTGGCACGACGCTGTTAATAACTCTATTAGTCGACACCGTAGTAATAACTTTAACGCACTAACTCCTAACCAGCTTAAGAAGATTCTTTTAAACTATAAACGCAATATTTATGCAATCGTTTACTGTAAGCGTGTAGGCACGGAAGATATATATAATAAGTTGAAAGAGTCAGGTATATTAGTTATTAATATAGTAACAGACCTGATATCTAGAAGGAAGCAGAACCTCACTGAGTTAGGGCAAAAGTACTTAGAACTACACCAGGATCCCTCTCTAGAACTGAAAACGTTTACGATCCTTAGGCGTTATAGCAAGAATTTGAAGTATATTATTTCAAAGAAAAATACTCCTAAGCCAGGAAAACGCAAGCGGCAAGCTAATCGAAACAGAAGAAATGCTGAGCAGCACTAGGAGTTAAATAAATTGCTTCTCTAAGGTGTGATATTGTTTAATGAGTCAGAATGTATTTATTAATACTAAATATAAGGTCTTAAATTAATTATTCTTCTTTTTTTTTCTCTCTCAAACTGAGCAGTTGAGCGGTTGAGTAGAAGTGAACAAGTTTAAAAGTAATCAAAATGACAGAACAAATTGAGTTAAAATATCGACGATTGATGAATGGTCGAACATCACTAGAAAATGAGCTTTCCGTAGTTCACAGTCGCATAACTGAGAGTTTAGAGGGACCAATTCGGAAAACAAAAATAAACGCCTTAATTGAATCTTGCAAGAGTATTCTCGAAAAAGCATTGGCTAAAAATGATGAACTTGTGATATTAGCTAATAAAACCGATAACCATAGCAAATTATTAACGGAGTTGGCGGACCAAAATGTGCCGCACTCTCGTATCCTGTAAGATCTAAAAAACCTGGTTCAACCTCTGTAAATTATCGGCAATTTAAACAGATAATATGACAATATAAAGATAATATAAAATAAGGCAAACATCAGTTTAACATTTTCGGTTAACATGTTATCGAACGGTTTTTCAACAACCTCCAAAATCTATAAACATTTTGATGGCAAACTGACCTTAATCGGACAAACCAGTAGTTTTCAAGGCCTTTTGTCTAAGCAAATCTAATTTTAGCTTTTTCACTTTCGCGCTATAATGACGTCATTAATTTAAGCGCGAACAGATTGTTATGATGATTTTTTGACAATTATAATTGATTATAATTACAAAAATTAGGTGTTTAAAGGATTTATAATTCATTGTAATCGTGCTATTTTCCAAGAGATTATACTCTCCTATGATCGATTATAACTGATGATAGTTCTTACAAAAAACCCTTAGAATTAATTATGATCGATTATAATCGATTATAACCTCTTAATTTGCCAACATTTTTTCAATTCAAAGCTATATTTGAATTAAATCTTATGGGTTATTATTTTTGTGCTGATGAGAAAATCTCTAAATGAGAGATCTCTTGAACACTTTGGTTCATCTGAACACAAAGTTTTACCTCGAAACATAAGTTTCATAGAGATCCTTTCATATTAGTGGAAAGATTGCCGCGGTAGATGAAAAATAAATCTTCCGAATCAATCATGAAACTAAATCAATTTGCTGATGTTTTGGTGGTTAAAAAGCTTAAAATATGCATCACAAAACAACTCTAAGGGAGAGGAAATGAAAAATAAAACTTATAAATTTGAATTGATTGGAAAACTTTAAAAACATTTTTCTCAGTTTTCATAGGAGCCAACGTCTACAAAAAGCATAAAATATAAGCAATTTAGATGCGAATTCGAAGACAAAATGGACAAACAAAAGTGATTATAATCAATTATAATCGATTATAATGAATTTTTGTTCAAAACTAATAAATTAGAAACTTTAATAAAAATAATGGATTTTTATCAATTATAATTGATTATAATCAATTATAATTGATTATAATTGTATCGTAAAATGGACGAATAAATAACCGAGTATAATCGATTATAATTTGACAGTATAATCGATTATAATTTGACATTAAAAAGGGAGATTATAATCGATTATCAATTGATTGAAATCGATTGTTTCTCAATTTTAGTAAGACTGGTGCTAAAATCGTAATATAATTGATTATTAACGCTTGAAACTGGATGCTGGACGGTATGGTTTTCTTATAAATAAGATAGTTGATGTTCTGCATTTTTTGAACGCCGCGACTAATTTTTCGACTGCCGCGTCTATTTTTTCGACCATGCCACGGCTAGTTTTTTGACGGCCACGACTAACTTTTTGACCATCCCGACCGAGATACGGTGTTTTCCATAATTTGTCCGCGACTTAAGACCCTGTCCAGACTATGAAATTTTGATCGCCGAATTAGAACTTCCGCGACCGACAAAGTCGAAAAATTGGTCGCGGACCTCGAGCCGGGTTCCCTTTCTTTAGATCACTCATAACTACTTCTTGGTGTCGTTGTCTGTTGCGGACGGGTGTGTGGGGCTGGTGAGTGTCAATCTGTGGCTCATGCTCTACTTGGGGGAGGGGGTTTGGCCTCTGGGTTGGCCAGCATGTGTAGTGTGGATACTGCTGGACTATGTATGGTGCACATCGTCCATATACCACGTCTTCATAATCAGCATCGACAGGTCAGAGTAGAAACACTTTCACTTCAATTTTTTGGTTCTTATACGTTGCCCCTCCCCATTAGTATAAAAAATATACCACCACAAGCCATACAATTTTGGACAACATGTATGCCCCCCTCCCCAAATAGACCAAATTAAGATCCTCCACCCCAGCGTTCATTTTCATTTTAATCTACTTAGCGCTGTAAGTAAATTGGCTGACAGTTTTGGGGGGAGGATGTTAATTTGGTCCAAGAAAATTGCATTTTTTTTACTTAGAAATTTGAAAGAAAAAGAATTTAGAATTTGAATGATTTGAATTTTTCATTTTTGAATCAAAAACTTGCTGATGGGCTATAATGAGAGAAAACATTCGTTAAAATATTTTACTGTTTCTACATTTTTGGCTGTGATTTAAAAGTCAAGAGGTAGAGTTTCAAGTGGCTCAGATCTATTTCAAGCTTTAAGCGTGGTCATTTGTTTGTTGTCTAGTGATGGATAATCCGCTACTATCAGTTTCAAGTCCACCATTTTCAAATCTGCTCTAAAATAAAAACCGAATCACGGGATGCGTTGACCGTCTTGTTTATCGATTAAAAAATTTTGATCCCAAAATTGCATGTTTTTGCAGCACTCTTCCCTCTAATCAAAAACCTACGACGCTAAAAGTAACTGCTTTGAGAAATTTTTGAAGGGCTGGTCAGCTAAAAATGAATATAACTTAGTGACGGGCGGTGACTCTTTTTGCGAAGAAATTTTCCATTTTCTGGGGCGGAGACTAGTCCACTATTAAGACTCCAGGACATCAGATGACCAGCAAATTAGGTCCAAATAATGGGAAGGAATTTAGACGATTTTGCAAATTATAAATAAGAGACAAAACTAGACAGAAACTTTGCAAAAAAAACAATTATTGCCTGTCAATTTTCTACTTCATGCGATAGCCATAAAAGTTGGTCAGCAAAGCAATGAAAGGGGCAAATAGCAAATTACTTTGCCGTAGTATAACTTTTACCTATTTTTGAATCAAGTTACAGTAATTTCATGAGAAAACTGAAATTAGCCATTAAATTTTGAGAAAAATCGGGCCAGCTTTTTTCTTTTACGCTCAGACTATTTTATGTCCAGTTTTTTTACTTCCAGACTACCAGGACCTTCATGAAAAATCTTAATGAAAGAAAATCAATTTTTAAATTTTTGTCTAGTGTTCTGATTTTTGTTCCGACTTTCGTAACGAAAGTAAAGGATTATTTGTGCTCGGGGTGGTTTTTTTCTTCAGACAAACTTCGACTTTTTAAGTAGCCATTTTTGACGGAATTTTTCTTTATCATTCAACAAAAAGTATTGTTGTTCTGAGCTTAAGTTTGCAAAAAATAATCTGTGATCGTTTTTTGTCAAGTTATGAGGGTTTGAAGATTGCCATTCTGGCCAATTTGGGACAATAAACGAGCGACATATTTCGTGCTATTAACGCGTAAGCGGAGATTTAACCCGTCTTAGAAATTGTTCCAAATTGGTCAAAAGAAGCTTATATGCTATAATTGATATGTTACCAGGATCGAAATTTATCCTTTTGTTCTTTATATGACGTGTGGGGGGATGGTTTTAACAAAATATCTCAAGTTTATAAAAAAAACAAATTTTCATTTTATTTTATTACACTGATTTTTTCTAATGTTATCACAGCTTCATAAACTTTAAAAGGCAATCGGAACTTTCAGGGCTTCGCCCTGATACGAGCAGTCTTTTTAAAAATATTTTTTCCGGCTTTCGTAGCAAAAGTAACGGAATATTTGTGCTCTGGTGGGTTTTTTTTCTTCAGACAAATTTCGACCTTTTAACTAGCCGTTTTTGACGGAGTTTTTCATATCATTCGAAAGCTATTGTCGTTCTGGGCTTAAATTTGAAAAGATAATTTGCCTGTGATCATTTTTCGTTAAGTTATGGGGGTTTAAATATTGTCAATTTGGCCAATTTGGGACAATTAACGCTCGATATATTTCGAACTTTTAACGCGTAAGTGGAGATTTAATCCGTCTTAGAAATCGTTCCAAATTGGTTCAAGATTTCCTTTATGCCATAATTGATTTGTTAATAGGAGCGAAATCTATCACTTTTTTTCCAAGTTATTACAGCTCCATAGACCTTAAAAGGCAGTCGGAATAATCAGGGCTTCGCCCTGATACGAGCAATCTTGTTTACTTTTATTTTAACAGGTCGCGTCTGAACTTGACTAATCTCTTAGTGATCTCTGTCCGAGTGAGCGAGTTCAGTGTTATTGCGCTTAGTTGGAGTTAACACAAATCTTAAATGAGCTCTATTTTTAACTTTCTTATTTTTCTTAACCTTAACTTAGTTAGATCAATAGAATAAGTTATGCAGTCGTCTGTAAACGACGAATCTAGCATAAGGGGAGTCCACCATTCTGGCAAACTCACACTACTAACCCCCCAATCCCCAACTCCTTGGGAAGATTGGAGGGATAGGCTTCACTTGTCATTAATAGCTAAAGGAAACATTGATATTGAAAACTTAAAAAAACCAAAAAAATTGTTGAAATAAAAACTTCTATAGATAGAAAAGGAACGACAAAAGGAGTCATTCACGGCAAAATGCATACTCTCGCTTTTGGATGATTAAATCAGAAAAATTTAATCTAAAAGAAATTACGCAGTTTGCACAGTGATTGCACAGCAGGGATTGCACACAGAGGGATTGCACAGCAGTATTTTTAGACTGCAGACTTGCAACCCCTCTTTTAGCAATTTTTCAACGAAGGAGCTAGAAATATTAACCATCGTTTGGTTCGTCGAACGCTAAAAAATTACTTTTTTGAGGCAAAAATAGCAGAAATCACAAGGCTTTATTTTTGGCAATATCCTGTGACCACGGTAGCTAGCCATATCATATCGTAGTTGCTTAATAAAATTGGTCGATTGACTTTTATCTGCTAATTTTACCGTAATACATCTAGCCTGATAGACATGAGTTTTTCTGATTTAATTTTGAGAATTCTAAAAGTAAAAACGGTATGGGAAAGTCGGAACAAAAACTCAAAGCGTACCCAAAGACCAAATTTTCTACATTTTCCGGGGTCGAAACAAAAACTTATTTTATGGAAGTAATTTTGTTGATATTAATGTTTAAAAAAACGAAATAAACTTAAATCACGTTTCGGATAAAATAGAGTAACCATTTTTATTTTCAGAAAAGCTCTCAATCGGGGCGTCTGTAAAAGAAACACCAGCGGTTGGCTTGATCGAAGAAATTGACCGCAAACGAAAGATAACGCTTTCGCATTTTGAAATTTTATACATACTTTATACATTTCAATGTTTGTATACGATTCGTCTTTTTGGGCAAAATACTGAGCAATGCGTGTTTCAACATAACAAAAATTTTATTTTCAGGAAACTTTGATTTTCGTTCTCTTTTTTTCCCTCTGAAGTTGTGACATTCAAAGCTAACTTTTTGAGGTAGATTGTTTTATGTCTACAAGCTTGGCTTCTTGGAACAAGTTTGTTTGAGATCATGCGTAGCTTTTAAGTCCGTGCTTTATGTTCAAACATTCTCGACCAGTTTTCGGACTGACGCGATTTATTTCCAGACAATCACGACTTATTTCCAGGCCATTGGCCACTAACGATATTGCAATTGACTTCCAGACAATCGCAATCGAAACCCAAAATTTGCAGAAATTGTTTGAAACAAACCACTTTCTCATTTTCAGCACTTTTGTTTTTCGCTTATACGATCGCACTAACCTTCGCTATTTTGTGCAATAAATTTTGATCTATGTGAGAGTTCGTTCTATAAACGATATAAATGAAAAGTTTTTATCTAATATTTCGTTTATTAGTATTGATTTGAATGTGATGTGGCAGAGTTTACTCTAACGGAAACTTGGGTTGCAAAATGTCCATATTACCAGATTTGAGGCTTACCATTCAAATAACCACCTCAGACGAATAAATGAATGAGTGTGCCGTAACCTTCTTCTTATTTTTCCAGCGAACGCGATTTTGCCCGGGCCTATGAAAAGTTTATTTCATTAGGCGCCCATTAAATTGGGCTTTGTTTAGAGCAATAAATTCGAATAATACGACAAATAGGAGCTGCGGGACTTTTGATCTAAGCCCAATTTGGGGTCCCAATTCCCGGCTCGTTTTTAAAGCACTGATTGCCGCTCCATTTTTTATAGAAAGTGTCTCCTCGCACAAAGAAAAAGACGTTATTTAACCCCACTAGATAATTTCATTCACATTTTCTTCCCTAACCTTCAGGCATCATGAGACTTATTATGCGTTCAATTGCTATTCATGTGTTCGAGATTCTGTTCACGTATGACGTAAACAACCCAAAATACAACAGAAATGGTTTTTATCCGTCAAAAAATTAAGCAACGGCTATTTATGGCTGATTGAAGCGCCTTAAGTCCATTTTAAATCAAATTTTGAAGCGGTGGCCCTTCAAAAACTGATCAATTGTTTAAAGTGGCCAAGCTTACGGCGAATCGCAGAAATAGTGAACAGTTGTCATAATTGAACAATGTTGGCTTGGAATATAAACATTTGATGGCATCTGTTTGTAAACGCTTTTTTTTTTCATGATTGCATGATTTTAATTCGAAAAAAAAATTCTCATTCGAAGCGGTCATAAGCCAATTGAATTTTAATTGCGGTTTTGTTTCTGTTTTCTTCCGAGATAGCCTTCCGAAGGCAAGATAAACGAAATAGCCTTTTTTTAATTTAAAAATAGAAACAGCTATTCATTAACAACAACTTTATTTGTGTAAAAAACTATGTAAACTACTATGTAAGCCATGTGTCAAGTAAAGTTCTAACTGCGTTTTTTTCTTACTTTCAAATAAATATCTATATGCTCGTGGTGTTTTTTTTTATTCAGACAGGTTATAGAAAAGTTAACTGCGTAATGGCTTCAATCCGCACACCTTGGGAGTGCCAAGCGAGTATGCTTGCACTTGGCTAAAGTGCAGATTTGGCGATGGAATAATACTTTGA